ACATAAGTCAGTAAATTTCCTCTTTGCTTACACCACTTTGAATCTGGATTTATCACTTGCAACCAAGAGGATGATGAATACATGTGGCAGATGTTGCCTGTTGGTACTCATCCCCACACCCACGCTTCTATAATCTCCCCTGCACAAACAGAAATCTGAAAACGACGTTTCTCAGATTCCTTTATTGCTTTGTTACAGTTAGGTTCCACCAATGGGAAGCTTCATGGGAGGAAGATGGGAGGAAGGGAGAAGTCCTTCTGCTTGCAGCAGTGCCTCTGCCTCTGGCGACATCAGCCTCTGATGTGGCAAAACTGGAGGCCTTTCCAGCACCATCAGCAATACAGACGCCAGCCACATCAGCAGCTACTGCAGACGAGTAGATTCCAGCTCCTTGACTCCAGGTCATAGCTTTCCCCCCTTTTGCTCCTCTCAGTTAAGATTAGTGGTAGTTGACTGGTCTCTGGGTAGCCCTGCTTTTTCTCTTAGGCTTCTCCTGACCTCCCCCACAACTTTGTGACAAATTCTTTCCATTCAATCCTTCTCTGCTTGAACTATCTACTGTGATTTCTGTATCCTTCCTGAACAGTGATGGGTGTGATACACGTTACTATCTTGCATACACACATGCATATACATACACAGCACACATGAGACTCAGGCAGTCTCTCAAACCTACAAAGTTAGTAGGTGGCCTAGCTGGGATTGGAATCCAGACATATCTGACTAACTTCTCATTCTTTCTCTGACTTGAAGTTGGCTTTTGTTGTTTTTTTTTCTATGGCTAAGTTAAATAGAAGTCAAAGGGAACAGAGAAATAAGACTATTAAGAAAGTTATTCAGATGATCAACCTTGATGTTCAAGTTGGGTGGGAAAAACAATGGCTTTTAGGGAATAAAGGACTGGGAGATAATACAGGGATGAAACCTGTCTATACTTAAGTCAAAGAGCAGGAGAGTGAGAATGAAGTTGTGAGGGAGGCAGAAGAATAGGATAAGAGGTTGTGGTCACAAGTGGAATGTTGGAATTTAAGAAATTTTTTTCATGGGTAGAGCAATTGTAAATGATGGCTAGGGTCAGAATTGGGCCATAATAATTGGGTGGTTGAAGTGGGGACTTCAAAAATTGAGGAGACAGAGTCAGAAGGTTGGTAGATGATGGCCATAAGAATGGTGTGGCTCACCTGCATGATGACAGAGGAGAAGGCATTTAACCTGCATGAAAAGAGGAGGAGAAATGATACAGACATGTGCCAAGTTGTGCCATTGCTGAGTCTGCTTCCCATCCATTCGGACAGCTACACGGAAAGGAAGAGGGGCCCTGGGGTTTCTCCTGGTCTCAAAGCTGAAGATAAAGCCCTGGTCAGTTTTCTCAGTGGCTAGAGCATCAGCCCATGGACCAATGAGTCTCAGGTTCGATTCCAGTCAACAGCACTCACCTTGGTTGCAGTTGGTCCCCAGCTCTGGTCAGAGTCATGTGGGAGGCAGCCAGTCAATGTGTCTCTCTCACATAGATGTTTCTCTCTCCCCCACCCCCTTCTTCCCTCCCTCACTCCCACTCTATCTGAAGATAAATGGAAAAATATCCTCAGGTAAGGATAAAAAAAAAAGCTGGAGATAAAGAGATAGGAAAGTATATTAACCATGGAGTGTGTAAAGAATGCAGAGAAGTGCCCTGGCCAGTTTGGCTCAGCAGTTAGAGCGTCAGCCCGTGGACAGAAGAGCCGTGGGTTCATTTCCGGTCAAGGGCATGTTCCTGGGTTGGTGTTTGGTCCTCGGCCCCAGTTGGGTTCATGTGGGAGGCAGCCAGTCGATGTGCCTCTCTCACATCAATGTTTCTCTCTCTCTCCCCCTCCCACTCTGAAACATGGAAAATGTCTTCAGGTGAGGATAGGAAAAAAAAAAAAGTGCAGAGAAGCTTACTAACCATAGAATGTGAATTAGAAAGGACACCATGGAAAGCTTGGGAAGAAGAGACCATGATGAAGAGGGAAAGGTGAGATTCCTCTCGAATCCGTCAGCAAGTCTTACAGACTATGTCTTCTTGGTATTTTTTGTTGTTGTTAATCCTAACCCAAGAATATTTTTCCATTGGTTTTTTTAGAAAGGGTGGGAGGGAAGAAGAGGAAGGGAGGGAGGGGGAGAGAGAGAGAGAGAAACATCTATGTGAGAATGACACACCAATTGGTTGCCTCCCACATGTGCCCCTACTGGGGCCTGGGATTAAACCAGCAACCCAGGTGTGTGGGCCAACACTAACCACTGAGCACGCCAGCCAGGACTCTTCTCAATATTTTTAATCAGCTCTCTTCTCTTTACCTCCATCACCACCCAGGGTCCAGGCCTTCATGATTTTCCACCTGGACTACTGCACCAACCTCCTCAGTGGTCTCCTCACATCCGGATGCCTTTTCACCCGGTATCCATTCTGCAGTAGTCACAGAATCTCATTACCCTTGTCTAAAATCCTTCAGTAAGTCCCCATTGCCCCAAAGAGAAACAAAAGCCATGCTTTCTAGCCTGACATGGACCCTCTCACACATACCCATGAGCTGAGAAGCCCCTGCCTCCTCCTCCAGCCTCAGCTCCCACCAGCCCATCACTCATCCCTAGTTGTGGTTCCCACACCTGGCTATCTCTTCTCCCCTTGTTTTTCTTTGCTTGTGTTGCCTCTTCTGCCTGTAATGCTCCTTGGCATGGTAGAATTTATATTTGCTAAAGGAATTACATGTTCTACTCATCTTTTAAATTTCAGCTCAAATGCTATATCATATATGAGGCCTTTCCTTACCCACTCTCGATCCCAGGTGTTGCTGGTTCTGCTCTCCTTTGTATATATAGACTCCACCTTAATGTCTAGTTTACTTACTACATTTATCTGATGTCCCCTCCTGACTATGATAGAGTTGCATATTCTTGAAGGCAGGCATTGTCCAATTCATCTTGTTATTCTATTGCCTGACACAATGCTCTGCAAGTGGGAGGTGCTAAGTGAATGGATGAAAGAAGCACGAATTGAGCCTTTTCTGGGAGTTCCTGGAGACAAACTAGAGGCTTCTTTGCAACAGAGGAGGTGGGAGAAGAGAAGAGAACACTTAGTGCTCCCCCTTGAGAGGAGGAAGTTAATTTTGAGTTCCAGAGTTGCTAGATCACCGTTTAGACCCCTCTAGGCTCGCTGGCATGATGCAACAATGGCCCCAAATGTAGCACATGGCAGGTAAGTCCAAGACCTGAGAATGGCCTTGTCCTCACCCTTAAGACTGAAGGAGGGGCAGCCAACCCTACGAGCAGAATCATCCAGACACCATCAGGGATAAAGGAAAGCACAAGATACTTCTTGGGAGTGAACCCCATAGCTCTGGTGCCTGGCCCCTCACCTCTGTTCCTAGGCCCAGCCAACCTCAAGTTCTGGGTGGAACCTCAGAGACCTAGTGCCTTCCCCTGGCATCCTTCACCCCCCAGGCATCAAGGCTGGTGAGGGAACCCTAGACAGTTCTCTTGAACCAGAGGAGCCTGGTGCCTGTCAGGAGCCACTCTATGGCCTGGCTTCCCAGTGTACAGCCCTGCGTGTCAGTGGAGTTTCTTAGTGTGCCATTCTACCCACAAAAGCCCACAAAGCAAGGGGCCACAGGTATGGAGGGCCTGACCATTAACCAGATGAGGCTATGGGCCAGAGTATGGGTCTACTTCCAGGGCCCCTTCCTGAGAGAATTAAGGGATGGGTTTGAGTCCATATTTATTGTCACTGGGAGATGGGTAGTATTGTACTCATTTTATGGAAGAGGTCATTGAGGCTAAGATATGAAAGCTCAGAGAAAGGGTCTCCGCTAGAGTCTGAGGCTATTTTTTTTTTTCTTTTTGTATTGATTTTTTTAGAGATAGAGGAAGGTAGAGAAAGAGAAAGAAAGAAGCATCGATGAGAGAGAACATCGATTGGCCGCCTCTTGCATGCTCCCACTGGGGATTGAGCCCACAACCTGGGCATGTGCCCTGACGGGGAATCAAACCAGCGACCTCTTGGTGCATGGGTCAACCCTCAAACACTGAGCCACACCAGCTGGACTGAGGCTATTTTTTGAGTCTAAAACAAATCAAACTCTAACTTCTGCTGTGTTGAAAGGTAGAAGAGGACAAAGGCCTCACCTGAGATCCAGTTGCCTGTAGTTCAGACCCACTCCCCAGTCAAATGGTTGTCAGTAAGTTTGGAGCCTAAAGCCTTGGTCCATTTATGACTAGAAAAGAACCAACAGCTACAACCTCTGCCAAAACACTGTACCATCTAGGCCTACAGTCACAGGGGCTAAAGGGTAGCCAGCAGGACCACTCAGAGGCAGTGTTCTGCAAATGTATTTCATGGTGCCAGGTGCCTGAATCATTCCTTCTCCCTTCTCCTTAGCTTGCCTCTGACACACAGCTGGCCTCTCTCTGTTTCCCCACCTCAACTTCATTCCTCTTGTTATGCCTAACTCATGGTGACCAAAGCCTTGTCTTCTCATGTAGTGCTGCCTGACCCACCTGTAATTACACTTTGAGGACCCCCTCAAATGGCAACCCTGAACCAATCCTCTTGGCACATGAATAGCTGTCCCCTTGCCCTGTCTTCCGGATGCCTACGAGCCAGGCTGTGGTCAGTTATTAGTAGGCGGGGTCAGAGTCCCTGCTCTGCCTCTTATTTGCTGTGTAAACACAGCAGTTCCTTTTCCTACTTTTAGTCCTCTGTTTCTTTCTATGTGTAGATAATCCAGAAGAAGCCAGTTTAGGGTTTGGATTTAGGATCATCTGGGAAGAAAAGACATTTGTCCCTCAGTCTTCCCCTCTCTTGCCTCCCACAGCCTCATTTGTGCTAGAAAGCCTCAAAGGAGATGTTATGACCTCTCAAACCAAATAAAGAAACGAGACTGTTCCACAACCAGGGCCCCTTGATTCAAGCCAAGAAGCCCTCTGGTTTTATTGTAAAGAAAATGGGGAGAAGGGTCTGGGACAAACTAACATCAGAAGCCCTGTCAGTGACTGCAGCCCAAGAGGCTGTTCATTCTCTGGGCTTGGGGAAGGGTCTTGGCTTCATTCATTTTCTCCACGTCACTGTAGCAGTACAAATTGGGGCCATGGGTGAGGTACAAGCCGGAGCCATTAGCAGAACATGAATTGGGGCCAAGGGACTTTTCCACACACAGGGCCCCATCAACCTTCGTATGAGGCCAAGGAAGCTCTGTCCACGTGGCTTGAGCTCCTAACTTCAGGTCCAGCCACCATAGCTGCCGTCCTGGGAAGAAGGCACCAGATATAACATGTCTTCCACATCATGGGGATCCTGACCTAACCCTTTGCAGGCCCTGATGGGGATCTATGCTTTGGAGAAGTAGTAGAACAAGCCACCCCTTAGCACCCAGATGCCCCTCACCTGCCATGACGTGGAGTCGAGAAGACCCAGGACAGATAAAGGCTGCATCCACAGCCTCAAGGCTGATCCCAGGAGGGTTTCCAAATTCCTTTTCCAGCCGTTTTGGATAACCATCCACTAGGGTATAGCCTCCCTTTGTCAGGTAGATATATATCTGAGTGCCCTAGAGGACAAAAGAGGTTAATCAGCATAGAGCTGGATATTCTCCAGTCTTTACCTCAAGCCTCTCTCCCAACACATACCTGGACCAGATAGAGTTTATCATCCCAGGAAAAGGCGGCATCCACTGTTGAAGGACCCTTCGTCCATTGATGGGCAATGGGCCAACTATGCCACCCATCCTTGCTGGTGTCCAAACGCCAATAGTGGGACCCTGTGGGGTATCAGAGGCACCTTTAGTGTTGGTGGTAAAAGGCCAGGCAGTGAACAGGCAAGTGACAGATGTAGGGGTGAGTCCTGAGAAGAGGAGAAGGCACCCAGAGGCCAAGAGGGAAGAAGGTACATAAGAGGAAGCAAAGAAGAACTTGATCTTCGGCCGTTATGACCTGATTGGAACTGAAGTCAGCAGGGGCCTGACAGAAGGGCAAGAATGAAGAACAGTGGCCAAATTGCCTAGTAAGGCCAATGCCATGGGGTTTGTTGGAGGCCCTTATGCATTCAGATGTCCATGTGCAGAGATGTTATAGACAATGAGAGAGTGACCAGAAGTTAAAAAGGAAGCACCACAGCAACCGTCCATACAACACCCTAATTTTCTTCTCTCCTTTTCATAACAACTTACTAAAGGACTCGTCTAAGCTCTCACCTTTACTTTTTCATCCTACTCCACTTATGCTTCTGTTTTCCTCCTCCATTGCAATTGTTCTTTTCAAGGACACCAGTGTCCTCCAACTTGCCAAGTCTAATAGTCTGTGGCCTACTCTCTGTCTTCCTCTTCCTCTACCTCTCAGCAATATTTAACTGCTCATAACTCCCTTCTTTAAATGTTTCTTGGATCTTGGCTCCTTACCAGACTCTCCATGTTCCTCATCTTTTGACTGTTCTCTTCAGCCTAATGTCTAATATTGGAATCCCCCAGGTCAGGTCTCTTCTGCACACTCACTCTCTTGGTGATTTTGCTTAGTCCAGAGCTTTAGAGCTTTAATTACCATCTACATGTTGATGACTTTTGATCTGTTTTTGTTTTTGTTTTTTACCCCCGGCTCTAAAGGACTCTTCTTTGAATGTTAGGCTCAAACACAACTCCCTACCTGACCTGTCCATTTGGGGCCACTAGGTACAAAAATCGAACATGCCTAAACTGATTGCTGCCCCCACCAAACACACACACACACCACACACATACACACACTTATTCTTTCCCTTGTCTTTTCTTATTTTAGAAAAGGAACCATAATTTTGTTGTTGTTGTTAATCCTCACCCGAGAAAATACTTTTTTGATTTTTAGAGAGAAAGGAAGAAAGAAAAAGAGAGAGAGGGAAATCGATGTAAGAGAGAAACATTGATCAGTTGCCTCCCATACACACCTTGACTGGGGATGGAACCCACAACCTCGGGGAACATACCTAATACTTTTGACCTAGCAGTTCAGCTGCATTCTATTTAGGGTGAGGGTCTCTTGAGGTTTTATGGTGTCTCCATGGCTTGGTGTTCTTGCTCCATCTCTGTCTGGTCCCTGTGACCTTCTTTTCTCATCCCCCCACCATGTGTCTGTCCTCTCAGTGGCCCCATGCTCTCACCACCTGGTACTGAAGTGTTTTTACTATATATATTCTCTGTGCAGGTCTGTATTTTCACTGCAGGTATCTGTTTCATCACAGACATCTGTTTTCATTACAGCACACATTTCTGTTGTGGGGATACGATATTTTTGTGACTGTGTATTTTTCATTATAGCTTGGTAATCATATCTGATCAGATTTGTCCAGGGGTTAGGAACAAAAAAATGATTTTCACTACTCTGTGTTCTCACTTCTATTTTACACCTGTATCTGATCATACATGTGTCTTGGGCTGAGTGTAATGTAGTTGTTCATGCTTTCTCTTGGAACTGTTCTCGAGTGTGAATCAGCACCAGTCACTACCTGCCTGACTAACTGCAGAGCATCCCAAGGTATCATTAGATGGCTTTTACCAATTAATGCCATAAGTCTGGAGCAAGGTGTCTCCACTGGTCACTCAGAGGAGAAACCTCCTTGGGCTAGTGAAGCTATCTCCCAAAGGTCTAAGGGACCCAACAGTCCTTGGCTGGCTTTTGGTACTAGAAACATCTCATACCCACGTGATGCTGTCCCCAGAGGCTTGGACATAGGAGCCAAGCACCTGGAAAAAGATGGGGCTCCCGAGGATAAGCCCAGGAAGCACCAGAAAACTTAGCAAGACATGCAAGAGCAAAGGTCACATGAGGAGTCACAGGGACCCAGAGAGGTCCAGAGAGGGCACAGACCTGGGATAGGTGGTACTGAGAGGTAGCATTTAGAGGTTTGGGCAGTGAGAGGCAAGTTGAACACTGTGCCTCAGAGGAGAAGAGAGATGGAAGAGGCATGCTGTGGGAGCCGAGGAACAAAGTGAGGGCACAGTGGTGGAGATGGAGGAAGTGTATCAGAGACAGTAGACACGTGAAAGAGGTGGGAGGTTTGGAGGGCAGAGGTGGAGGATGTGGGGTCATCACTCACCGGTGAAGGCATAGGTGGCACCATGCTTGTCAGACAGCAGTGCAGACAAGACTAGATCTGGGCGACAGCGCATATCCCCATAGCCTTGGTGAGTGCTATTCGCATGGTGGGTCCTGTTCCTGTGTCCATGGCCTTGGAGGGAGAAATCAGCAAGGGGGAACAAAGGCAGAGGTCAGAGGTCATAATGAGATCTGAGGTGGAAGAGATGGCTGGGGTTAATGGGGTGTAGGCTTCCACCATATGAGGATAACTGGGAAGAGCCAGACTAGACATGGGCTAGGCAAGGACCAAGGTCTTACGTCATAGAGGTAAGGTGGGAGCTGGGGCATACAGATGGGTTCATGAGTCTCAGGGGCTGGGGCTTTCTCACCTCTGCCAGGGCAGGGCATGAAGTAGTCTCGGGTATCCAGAGGGTACCTAGGGAGCACCTCTCCCGTGATAGGGTCGAAGCGCAGAAATTGGTTGCCCTGGAAGCAGTAGTAGCGGCCGAGCCATCGAATGGCAGAGGAGCAGTTCCCAACAGCCGGCCAGTCACGCTCTTTTGCGGTTTTTGTGGCTAAGTCCCAGAACCACGTGCGGGTACCTTTGTCCAATCAATCAAAAAGCATTTGGTGAGTCCAGCCTCTTCCCTGCTTTGTACTTGCACTGGGCTCCAGGGTGGACAGATGCAGTCCTGGCTACATGGAGCTCACAGCCCAGCAGGGACACAGGTGGAGAGAGTGATCATACAACAAAATTCCACAGCAAAGTGCACATGATCATCTCAGCAAGTGGAGTGGAGAGAATCAGAGAAAACTTCCCAGAGAAGGTGGCACTTAAAATGAAATCTGAGGCAGGAGTTGCAGACAAGTGGGGGAGACAGAACTCCAGAAAGAAGTAAGTCTGAAGCATGGGGGGAACCGGGTGTACAGGGAAAGGCAGAGAGCTTCTGGAACCTCACATGCGAGGTAAGGGTATGACGAGAGTCGAGGCTGGAGGGTCAATAGGGATTTGGTCATGGAGAGCCTTATACGTATGACTGAGGAACATAGATTGGTCCTAAGGATCATGGGGGGACAATGAGGAACTTTTAGTAGAATTATACCCACTTACCGTCCCCAGGATAACGCCTCTCCTTCCCCTACTTAACCTTTAGATCATAACTGGCCTATTTCCTTCCTTCATTGGGGAGTCATCTAGTGACTACCTCTGTCACCACCAACCCACCATTACTCCAGCCTCTCTCATGCTCTCCTGGACTGACCTTGGAAGAAAAGGATGCCCTCATCCTTGCATTCTCCACGGTGACATTCCACAGCTGCATCCAGTGGGGATGGGATCCCGGGAAACTCATCTTGGAGCAACTTTGGATATCCTTCCTCTTTCTTCTCGGGATGGTGCCTCCAGACTTTGTCGCCCTGAATACAAAAGCACTCTGTTTTTAACTATGCTCCCCACATACTGTCATCCGGCATTTACACACATCTTTGATCTGTTGCACTTATACAACATCCTCCTGCAGCCCCATACACTCTCAGTCCATCTGTGCACAACAATGTGCTGTCCCTTTAAAGAATACGCACCCTCAGTTTGTGTATAGCCTGCCACTATTACTATAACGCATACACACCTGGCTTAGCACAACGGACACTCCCATGGCACACCCTCTTACAACACCCTTAGTGTTGGCAAACACATCCGATAATAGTGATCCTGTAGTCGTTCATCCATGTATGCATTCATTTGTTCATTTATTCATTCATTCATTTATTAATTCAAGAATGACTACTATATCCAGATATAGGGGGTAAAGGAATAACAAGGCTCTGTCTCTGCCTTCGAGGGGTTCACTGTCCAAATGCAGAAAGGATCCCATCATCCTAGACACGCAACCACCAAGGTGGGTGCGAAGTGCACCGGGACTAGAGTGGTAGTGCCTAATCTACCTAGAGAATCCCCTAGAAACTCCACAGAGGAGGGAGCATTTGGGCCAAGAATTGGAAACTGAGCAGGAATTTTCCAGGGAGACAAGTGTGGAAAGGGTCTCCCCAGCAGAGGGAGCAGCACGCACAGAGCATGCTCAGGGAACTACATGCAGTGTCCTGTAGCTGGCACCGTGAATGTGGCAGGGATGGGGGATAATCTGAAAAGATAACCAAGGGCCAGATCTCAAGACCCATGCGCACCCAGCTTGCAGGAACTGACAGGTGGGGGTGCCATTTACTGAAATCAGGAACACAGGAGAAGAGGTCGATGTGTAAGAAAGATACCCAGTTCAGTTTGGGGGATGTGCCTATGGGACATCTAAGTCAAAGATGTCTGTCAGGAAATTGGAAAGAGATGTCCGGAGCTCCAGGGAGAAATCCACATCTGGTATCCATGCAGAGAGAGTCCTCAGAGCCATGGCAGTGGTAGACATCACCAAGGGAGGGTGAAGGGAAGGGTTGGGATGGATCTCCGAGGAACATTCAGGGACTAGCCAAGGATGAGAAGTCAGAACGAGCAGGAAAAGAAGCAGGAGGGAAAGCAGAGCTGGTGGTGAGGGCCCCTCGAGCCGCACAGCACCTTTGTGCAAGTTAGGAGAAGGTGTCCTTTCTTCTGAGCAGACACAGCCTAGGCTGGATTTCATCCTTCTCTCCCCCCTGGGCCAGATGCCATTGTGTTGTGGCCACCATATGAAGAGGACCAGAAACAGGGCCATGGAAGCCAAGGGAAGAGACTGCCATGAAGGAAAGGATGGCCAACAGTGGAGGCATGGCAGAGGTCTGGACAAAGGGGAGGACTGCAGAATAGCCATTGGATATTGTGCCTGCCAGTCTCAGCTTTCCAGGAAGGGAAGTCGCAGGAGGAGGAACCCTGGAACTTATTGGTAAAGGCTCCATGCCAGGGCCACTTGGGGGAGAGTCTCTCGTGTGGATTCCAGCACTTCCTGGTCCATCCCTGACCTTGACCCAGCAGTACCTTGGTCAGGAATACACTGTCGTGACCAAGGCGAAAGGCGGCATCCGGGGAGCTGGTGAAATCCTTCCATGTCTCTGAGATCAACTCCCGGGCCCAGTGGTGAGCCTTCCACACGTACTCCCCTGAAAAACACCCTCACTGAGAGACCGAGAACACAGTTTTGGCCTACTGAGATGGTTACAGGGAAACTTTGGGTGATCTTAGATAATTCCTAAGATCTCCCACAGATGGATACACCCTTGGTGAAGGGGACCAAGTCTGAGGTCCCAAATGCCCCAACCCTCACCTCTCCTACCTTTAAAAAACAGCATGGTCCCATTGTCATCCATAGTAGTAGCATCAAAGCTCCAGCCATCTGAGCAGAGTTCTGAGGTGGAGTTGGGGAGATGACAAAGTAAAAGGCCAGTCAGATGATAAAATGCGGAGACAGAGTTACACAGACAGATACATTTGGGGAGTCAGGGCCTCACCGAGCATGTTGGGGATCTTGTTTCCATCTTCAGCTCCATTCCCAGAGGCAGTAGTCCTAGAGGGGAGACAGAGAGCTGTCTGGATCCAAGGGCCCAATCCATTTTCCTTTGCTCCTGACCCCAAACTTGACCAGGCCTAAAAACTAGCTCTGTCCCACTCTAGCCCAGACCCCAGTTCTCCTTCCCCAGCATCAGCTTTACTCACGGAGAAACCGGGTGGGCGATGGCCAGAGACCAGCACAGGCCCAACAACCCCAGTGCAACAAGTGTTCCCGGTGCCCGAGCCATGCTGAGCTGGAAAGGCCACAGGACAGCCCTGGTCACCTGCTGAACTCCCTTTATAGAGACGGCAAGGGCACCAGCCCACCTCCAAGCCTGCTGGGAATGCTATCCCTGAGGATTCAGCCAATATTGGCTGATTACATCAGTGTAAATAAGGTCAGGGTCCAGGACAGAAATCTGAGTCAGAGACTCTCTCTTCCCGGCAGGAGGCCCCATCCCCCTTCAATGGCTTTTGAGTAGCCCATGCCACCAGTGCCCAGCTGTGACTCTCATCACCTTGGTGATGGATCTGGTTGCCCATAAGATCAAGGAAGTGGGTAGACTGATTAAAGACCACCTTTCTGTGGTTGGGTTTACCTCTCCAATGGGGAGGAGAGAAGAGGAGGACACTGGCATTTTGTGTACTAAGTCAAACCCTGCCCCAAGACAGCTAAAGACGCTGATACTTACATATGCTTACCCACACACATGTGCATACTTAGAAACACTCAGAGAACAGCTATTTCCAATTTCCTCTAAGGGCCTTTCTGGGGCATTTCCAAGCATCTTCAGCTTTTTAAAAAATTTGTTTAATTAAAAAAATTTTTTTTCTTTATTGATTTTAGAGAGGAAGGGAGGGAGAGGGAGATAGAAACATTGATGAGCGAGAATATCGACTGACCACCTCCTGCATCCCCTTCACTGGGGATCTGGCCCACAACCTGGGCATGTATCCTGAGAATCGAACTGGCGACCTCTTGGTGCATGGGTCAACACTCATCCACTGAGCCACACTGGCCAGGCTTCTCAGCTTTTTTTGTGTGTGTGTGTCCCAAGCATGAAGCAGCTCCGGCCACCGACACAGGCATCAAGCTAGGATGAACTAAGGACTGTACATCCACTAAGCTCCTTACTGGCATGAGAGCAACCCCACCAATCAGGTGTCTCCTTGCCCATCGCCAGGAGGTGCTTTGCACTTGATACGTCAGTAAGATTTCGCCATCAGTGTCCAGGTCCCACCCTGGCTCCACCCCCATTGGCAAAGAACTTTACAAAAATCACCTGGGAGGGAAGGGTTGACAGTAACGGGACAGGAAGAGGTGACTCTAATTACTAATTGCTAGTAATTAGTCTTTCTTGGTAGTTTCCACATTAAGGGAAATGTGCTTTATTTACCCATCACAGAATAAACAGAACTGCAAGGGGTTTCACAATGTTTACAGCTGACTGTTGCTGATATGCTGTCTTCACAGTGAGGCCTTGCATGGCCACTGTATCCAGCCATTTCGAACTCGGGTTTATATCCTTTATGTCACTTATTAAAACTTGAAATTCTTTCATCTTTCTACGTATTTGTTTACTATTACATTCTCTCCACCACAAATAGTACATGTCATACAAAAGGTGCTCAATAACATTTGTTGAATGAAAAATGAATTTCAAGCACTGACTAGTGTTGCAGACAAATTTCTGGCAATTTCCCTCCTGGGGCAGGGCCTGGGGTGTGTTATGATGGGAAGCATACTGTGATCGAGGGGTCACAGGTCCCCTTGTCACTGCTGGTGCTAGTCACAGGGCTCAGTGTCCTGGCCCTACATCCCTCCCTTCCTCTAGTCCTGGGAACTCACCTGTGATCTCTAGTACCTGCTATCTTCAGTACTCCCTGGGGCCACTCCCAAAGCCTGCCCCATTTCCATCTGAGACTCCCTGCTGAGGCTGAAGGTAAATATAAGCAGAGGCATCTATGGGCCAGGCTGACTGGTTCCAGCACCCCTATTTCCCTAGCCCAGCCTGAAAGGGTCCCGATCCCTCTCACATGGCTTCGTGCCCCTGACCTCTCCCTATACAATCTTAGCAAAGGTCTCAGATCCCTTTTGCACTCTGCAAAGGCTCCTCCCAACAAGAAAACAAAGATTTCTGGGAACTCTGGAACATGTCACTGGGTTCTGCCATCGGGCTTAATGTCCTCTCCCGACTTGTAAACAAAAACGTGCCTCTTGTTAGCCTCATTCGTCCCCATTGGTTAGTAGGCAGAGCTGGACTCCCCAAGCCCTTGACAGCATGGGCAATGCCACGGCTCCCAGGGCAGATTCCCAACACCCACCTTCTCTCTGCAAGGCGTCCCTGGCTGGACCTGCTCCACCCCAGCTGCTGGGCACTGGGCTCTGGAAACAGCTACTCCCAGGCTCCCCTTCAACTCTTCTTTCCCTCCCAGCCTCTAAAATCTTAGAGGACTTTGCTGGATTCTCCCTCCTCAGCACCTTGCATCAGCAACCCCCTCAACAACTGTTTTTAGCTCCAGAACGGTGTCGTGTGTCCTACAGATTTCACTGAGTCTCCCTCAAGAAATGGAAGTGTTCACAGCGAGTCACTAGCACCCCCCTGAAAACCATAGTGAGGGCCTTCAGTCGTCTTTTGATCAGGGCCCTGCACTGACTGGCTGGTGCAGGGGCGCGGCCTCCCCTCTGGCCTGCGCAGCTCTTTGAGGGGAGAAAGCACACGCACTGGCTGATAGGTTTTCATTGTGGCCTCTTCTTCCCACACAGCTCTGGTTCCCTCACCCCTGAACTACTTCAACATATGGCTTTATAGCCTCTTTTCACTGTTTCCTAATTCGCTCCTCTACCCTAAGGTGGCTTAGATACCATTGTAGGAGCCTTCCTCCCTGCCCCAGGAGTAGGCCAGCGAGTCTTCAGCATGGCAGGCACTGCAGGTTGAAGTTCAAGTTCTGAGCAAGAGCTGAGAGGCAGAGGACTATCCATATGGAAACCTAAGTTGTGCATATGTCGTCCATCTGGTGCTGGTCACAGGCACAAGGCAGCTCTTCTCAGAGGATCCAAGGCTGGGCCTGCCTTGCTTCTCTTCTCACTTTGGGTGGCATTTATTCTTGTCCTGGAGTCCTTCCCAGTCTCTGACCTGAGCGAAGAGAAAGTGCTTGTCCTCACTTGGGCCTGAGCGCCCCCTGGAGGCTATAGGAATTAGTGCGTTCCCACCCTTCAACCCGAGGCCAGAGCCCAGTTTTTCCTCCCTGAAACCAGCTCTCCACACTTTCTCCCTCACTCTCCTCAGCCTGGCTGTGAGGCCTCAGTGGCACGACCCCTTCCTCTGCAAATCTCTGCTGCCCAGAGTGGGTTGGGGACACTCAGTCTCTTGCTTGATTTCCTGGGGAATTCAAGCCCTGTAAAATCCAACTGCCTGCTTTTTCATGTAGTCTTCTTAGTCCTAACCAGCGGCTTTCTTGCTCCCCTCACAGAGGGTCTGAAGGCAGGCCTGCCCACGTCTTCAAGAACAGAGCTTCCTCTTGCATTGCCAGGGGCCACATTTAAGCTGGACACTGACCCACTGTCCCTTGGAATGGACATGCCCAGCCTCCCCTGCTGCTGACCCGAGTTCTCCGACCTCACTCATTTCTCCTGTACCACTGAGCGCTGGTGTGCTGGGTCTGCTGCCCATGGTGGTGTGCTCCAGGGAGCAGAGACTGTGTCCCTCCTTTCCCCAAGCTGAGAAACCTTAGGGGTAAAGTTCCAGGTACCAGAAAGAGCTCACTGCTCCCAAATGACTCCTCCAACATGCACATTTCTGCTTGCTCTGTCTTATAACGGGCTTTCCTACATAGCCCATTCCTACTTCTCTATGAATAAATCATTATAATAATAATTGGCTCATATCTATGGGCACATGTATGTGCGTGGCAGTGTCCTGAGCACTTGATAGGGATTATCTCATTAAATCAGATATATCCATAGGATAAGATTAATCCCATTTTACAAATGAGGACACCGACATCAGATATCTTAGCCAAATCTCACCGTTAGCAAGTGGTAGAGCCACGATTACGTTCTGGCTGCCTGGATCCTGGGAGTGTGCTCCGTGTCCTATCAAGGGATATGCTGGTGCATGGTGAAGAGCCAGCTCTCCAGAAGGAAAAAGGCCAATTTGTAGCATTTGTTAATTGCTGTGGTATAAATATCACGGCCATCTTCAGGCTACCAACAACACATCCAAACGTGCAGTTGGGAAGAAAAAGTAGCACAGTAACATGTTACTCACCACATGGTATTTCCACCATGCAGATCTGATAGATGTAAATAAGTTCAAGAGCACAGGTCATAGTAAAATACAGAGAAATAATTAGGAAGTGATGAGTTTTGAGTATTTGTTATCTTTGATTTTAATAAAATGTATTTAATTTTAAGTTTACATAATTTAATTTTTAATAATGGCTGAGTTTTGACAAGCAGCTGTCAAAATTCTCGAAAACTTGACAATGAGCTCTTGTAAGCCTGTACAAACCAGCTCATCACCCTGCTATCCACCACACTGCCTTCATGAACAAGACAAGGATTTTGTCTGATTTACTCATTTCTACATCTTTAGCACCTAGCACTGTGCCTGAAACACTGTATGTGTTTAATAAGTATTGAATCTTGTTCCTAATTTCTAATTAGCTAATTAGACCCAACATCTGTCTGCCCCTCTCTGCCTCCCTCATGGTACAAACACCATCATTCCTTCTTCCTTTTTTTTCCCTTTTGTCAATCCTCTCTTGAGGATATTTTTCCACTGATTTTTAGATAGAGGGGAAGGGAAAGAGGGAGAGAGAGAAAGAGAGAGATATGAAAGAGAAACAGATTGGCTGCCTCCCACACAATCTCGACCAGGTCTGGGATCAAACCTGCAACCCAGGTATGTGCCCTTGACCAGAATCAAACCCACAACTCCTCGGTCTGTGGGCCAACGCTCTAACCGCTGAGTCAAACCAGCCAGGGCCATTTCTGGTTTTTAATCTTTTTATTGATTTTAGAGAGAGGAAGGGAGGGGGGAGAGAGAGAGAGAGAGAGAGAGAGAGAAGCATCGATGTGAGAGAGAAACATCGATTATCTGCCTCCAGTGTGCCCCAAGTGGGATTGAACCCAAAACATGGGTATGACCAGGAATCGAACCTGCCACTTTTGGTGCACTCTCTGGTCTGTGGGCTGACACTCTAACCACTGAGCAAAACTGGCCAGCGCTCCATTATATGTTTA